AAACGGCGTTTGAAACACAGAGGACGTGCATTAAATACGATTGGCTGTTTCTGCGATAGAAAGGACGTGTACAGTGCACTTTTGTGGGAAACAATACACAACATTTAACGAAGGTATGCTTGGAGATAGGGAATGTCAGCTGACGTGTACCACGGACATACTCTGGGGGCAAGTGAAAGGGCATAGAATGACTGCATAATTAGACCATTTAATGATTCCAATTGGCATTGGCGCATGGCTAAGAGAAGCACATGACAATGAACACGTTTGCTCGTTTTGCAGCTAGAAGGTGCTGTTCGTTCTTGTTTCTCAACAAAACCTTACTCTCAGGTTCCATATCACTCTGGTCAAGTGTACGAGGTTTTTATCACCTACACTTTCCTTCTTGTCTCTGTGTGTGTGTGTGTTCTCTATATATATGTGTCGCGTTTTATGTGTGTCAGCTTCAGGTAAAGAGATAGAGACTGGCTTTCTTTGTTCATATTGAACTTGCTTATCTACTAAAAGATCATTTTAAACCAAATTTTGACTTCATTTTACACCTCATCTTGTGTCTGCACTCCATTGTTCTCATATCTCTAATGATCACTTTTATAAATGGGCTATTTTTGCCCAAAATCTACAATATCAATGATTATTCATTACATTTACCTAAATTTTATTTTTTCTCATCCTCTTGGAATTACAGAATGTGCAGAAAGAAATGGTGATGTTGTCAACTAGTGTTCTGAGTATCAAGTGGACAATAAAAGGGAAGCCTAAATCTTTGCTTGCAAAATAGGAGGAGATTTGATTATTAAAGTGAATTCACAATTCACTCTGAACCAGATTAGTGGCCAAGTGATCGTGCATGAAGAGTTTGGGATTTATCGGCATCATCAATGATGCCCCAGACATTTTTCTGGATCTCACGTCGTCTTTTTGCTACAATTGAGGCTGGAAAAGATGTCGCTGACCTTGTGAAGGACTTAACTAAGCGATTTTCAGCAGAGAAAGAGAATCTGGAGATTTATCCAGACCCTTCTGGTGATCCAACGAAGGTAATTTTTTCAAGAATCCGTATTTCCGTTCCTTTTTCTGGCTTCATGCACATATCATGATTGCTTAGAATCTAACGAACTGAAATTTTTTCTTTTTCTGATGAATAAAGAAACTGCCTTAATGGAGGAAATGTTTAAATCCGGAGTAGATATTATAAGACCTTGTCTTAGAAACAAAGAATTCTTAAAACACCAAAAAAGGAGGCTTCCTGCCTCTTCATCAACATTGAAATAAATCTTACTCCTTGATTATATTGAATTCAAACAGAACTGATATTATACTTTCCTGTAATTATTTTCCCACTTGGACCTCATTCTAGAAGGGCAAAGCTATATTATTGTAACCTTACTTGTCAAATGTGACTCCCTTGCCATATGTCATGTTATTTGGCGAAATCACACTAATTCTGCATCCACTTGTAGTGGACTGCAGGAACTCGTAGACATTTCTGGATTTGGTTTGTATCTTTTTGCATTTCCTGCTGAGGTATATAACCTCTTAAATAGTTTAAGCTTTTAGACGAGTTGATAGTTTAACAATTGTAGCAGGAGCTTGACATAGAATCTGGACACCCTCTTTATAACTTCAAGACTACGGGACAAAATTAGACTCTTAGCACTCTTGATTTGGATGTTTCCTGTACATTTTAGGGAACTTCAATTTTTTGCCAAAGGATTACTGTATTACTTAGATATTTGGACCACTAAAAGGAATATATTGCACCATAAACAAGATTCTTTACACTTTCCGACGTAGTATATTCCTATCCATTTCAGCAATTTTTTATGTTTGTAAAAGGATCAGGTTCTACTTCTTGCTGATTTGTCATTTTATGTTCTATGATTCAGTTCTTTCAAAGGGATGACAGTTTCCAAAGAGATGCATTCCAAATTGCCCTGTTTCTTGCGGTTCTCTATTTTGTTGTACAGTTTTTAAGGACAACTTTGTAAAGCCTGCTTTGTATTGTTTTCTACATTTATTTAATTGAAATCATTGGTGTCATAATGTTGTATCAAGCAAATACTGTGATATTCTCGCATAGAAATATGCCCACCCCTGATTCCCAAGTTTGTATAGTATCTATTGGATTACTCAATCCAAAGACTTCTAATCCTTTGCTCGTTACGTTCTTAGACATCATGCATTTGCATTCATCAATTTTTTTTTTTAACGATCTGTTAGAAACTGAACATGGAAGTTTTGTCTATAATGCTTTGTTTGTTGCCTACACATAATGATAATATAAATCAACGTTGTAACATGAAACAAGGAAGTCACATTCATGATATTTATCATTGTTTAGAAATGTTCTACCTGATATTTGGATTAAAGAAAAAAGTATGTTACATTTCTTTCACTGTTTTTTTTAAGTTCAACATGACAAATAAACGATTGTATACCCTGGTTTCTATGTTGTTTCCACTCTCCGCTGAGAGAGTAAAGCAAAGTTGGCAAAGGTGGAGAAGAGTAAACTGAGACGAGGATCGGGGCAGTCAAATTTTACACATAATTTAAGTTGGTGATGCCAATATCTGTTCCTGGACTTGATGTTCATCAAGAAAATGTTTGCCCCCAAGGGAACTGTGCTGTCTAGTGTTAATCTGGTTCTAACACCTGCACTGGCTACTTAGAGGCTCAGTTACACATGACATGAGGGTACAAGTACGAATAGGTTTATTGCATACAGTTGTTCTAAGTGGTGTTTAATTTTAGTAGGATGACTCGGGCTTTTTATCATTCTTAGAAGCCTCACACATCATGATTGTCACACCCCATTTTCATAAACAGTCGTAAACTAAGTAATAACCTTTAAAATTATGAAAGCATATCTATTAATATAATTAATAAATCAAAACAACGATATCTAACATCATCTAATGAAAAATTTTCAAAACATAAATCAACCATTAAATATTTACATCCAAACTCCTTAAAACATAAAAAACAATTATCTCCCCTCTAACTAAATAATATTTATGTACATTATTCAATCATCAAAACAATGAGATTAAACTAATAAATCAAGCTTTACACCTTGACATTTGGATCCACATTTTAATATGTTTCAAACTCAAAATCCACGTGCTCACCTAAGCTGACATCACTCTCAACATCCAAATGAGGAATATTAAGAAAGGGGTGAGCACAACTATAGCCTAGTAAAGAAATTTTCACAAACTTAAACAAAGTATACAAAATGAATAAAAGCAGGAGAGTCCAATTTTTAAAATAAATATATAATTTTTGAAATAAAACATATGACATTGTTAATGATCTCAAGTTTCGATATGTATATAGTAAATCTAGAGTATAGTAGAATCATTTAGAAACCAATAGCTTATATCAAGAATATCTCAATTACGTAGGTCGATTATCAAGAACTTACACACCGAATATATTTGGTCTACAAAATACATCACCATCAAATCAGTCCTCATAGAGTTACCATGTTTTAGGAAGCGTGTATATTGATGCATCAGTTGTTGGAATGGTAGTCCCAAGATCTGTTGACGGCGCGTATAATCAATTGCAATTTTTTTCCCGTTTATTAACCCTACAAGGTGGAATTAGTGTTTATTTTTGACAATTAGATTCGCACGAACAAAGAACAGATGTAGATCGAACAATAGGCTCGATAGATCTCATGATTTTCTATCGTATATTCTTTCACTTCAAAATTCAAATGCAGTGCGGGTTGCAAACCTCCAAATTCTCTTCCTTGCTTTCTCTTTGCCTCTTTTAAATGTGAAGGTGAAGATTATGACTAAGAGAATTAGAGGGTGTGTTTATTTATAGGTTACAGTAGAGATCTTTAGGAGAAATAAGGGTTAGGCTTCGAATGGGCATAAAAATCCTATGTCTAACCCAAAACAAATATCCTATGGTCCATTAATAATAATTTAGTCTATTAAAATTTATTATTGATCTCTTGGACTTTATCTCAAAATTATATTTCGAGCTATTCATTATTATATGCTTAATAATCTCCCTATATTTAAGATTACAGATATCCGTTAGCTAATTAAATTACCAACAATTATATTTAATTGAGTAATTTTTATCCTTGCGATCTTACCACTCAATTTTTTTTTTTTGTTGAATAATTAAATTCACTTGTAGGGTTTGACATGAATAAAACTTATGAGCTTCCTCAAGAAGTCATCATCAACTAATTTAAATACCGGGGGTGTCGTTTTCTTTAATAATTAATTTTCATCATATAAATAATGTTATCTCCCAATTCACTGAATTTTTTGACTCAATTATGAATCTCACTTTTTGATGAATTAAAATAACAATCATTATTTGCATGTGTCAATTAAATATCTCAGGATTAAGAGTTTAAACAATCATAATAATCATGAGGCATTTATTTTTTTAATTAGTTAATAAAAATAAAATAACCTCAAGAATGGTCCAGTTCAATATACAAAGTGTATTAGTATAACAATCCGAAATATTAGACGGTCTCTTATAGTCAAGACAGACTATGTCAAAAGATTGCATTACAATCCTATTGATGGTGTGTCTAATTCCTTTTAAGACTGTGAACCTTTACTTATATTATACAATGATCTAGTAATCTGATCTTTTTTGTATAAGCCGAACTCTATACATTAAATTATCTACAATGTAAAATAAAAGACAAAGGCATATCATATATTTAATATAATGTAAATATTTTACCCACATATATTCTCATTGAAATAGACAACAAAGAACTTTTATTAAATAATAAACCAAATTTCATTACAAAAAATAAGTTTGTAATATATAACTCTATAAATTCTCCCACTTATACTCAAAACCATGCTACCATGCATCTAACTCCCATTCCCTCCATGTGACTGTCAAAAATTTTTGCTGGTAAACTCTTTGTGAAAGGATATGTTAGGTTGTTTGTTGATGCAATCTTGGTCACTAATATATCACCTCTTTCCACGATGTCTCGTATGAGGTGGTACTTACGCTTAATGTGTTTCCCCTTCTTGTGGGTTCATAGTTCATTTGAAATTTGCAACCGGTCCGCTACTGACACAATAAAGTATAATAGTTGATCTTACTGAAGGTACCACTTCTAAATCCATAAGGAAGTTTTTGAGCCACACTACCTCTTTGGTTGCCTTAGAGGCTGCCACGTATTCGGCCTCCATGATGGAATTAGCAATATAAGATTGCTTGATACTCCTCCAACTTACGGCTCCACCTCATAGAGTAAACACATATCCAGAGGTAGACTTCCTGAAATCTTTATTTGACTGAAAAACAGAGTCTGTGTACCCAAAAGGTATTAGACTATTTGTCTGGTAAACCAACATACAATCTCTTGTCCTTTTTTCAAGTACTTGAGAATATATTTTAGCGTAGTCCAATGTTTTTATGCAGGGTTAGACTGATATCTACTAACCAGGACAACGACAAAACAAAATATCAAGTCCAGTGCAAAGCATAACATACACGAGACTTCCCATTGTCGAAGCATAAGGAATCGACTTCATGCTCTCTATCTCTTTATGTGTCTTAGGATACTACTTATTTGATAGAGAAACTCTATGTCTAAAAGGAAGAAATCCCTTCTTGGAAATTTGCATGCTAAAATGGGTTAGAATGGTATTGATATAGGTAGTCTTAGATAAGCCTAATGTCCTATCCTTGCGATCTCGCATAAGCTTCATCCCAAAGATGTGGCATGCTTCTCCCAAATCCTTCGTACCGAACTGATTGAATAACCATACCTTAATAGAATATAACACCTCCACATTGTTTTCGATGATTAAGATATCATCAACGTAAAGTACTAAGAAGAACACCACGTTTCTGTCACGTTTTATGTATGTATGTATGTATATGACTTATCTAGGCATTGATCAAAATCATAAGATTCAATATTTGGATCAAAATGAATATTCCAAGATCTAGATGCCTGTTGAAGACCATAAATGGACCTCTTAAGCTTACACACTAGATGTTCTTGGCCCTTTGATACATATCCATCTGGTTGCACCATATAGATGCACTTGTCAAGATGCCTGTTAAGGAATGCTGTCTTTATGTTCATTTGTCAAATATCGTAATCAAGATGAGCCACAATCGATAAGAGAATTTACATCAACTTTAGCATAGCTACTAGCAAAAAAGTTTACTTATAATTGATTCCCTCTTTCTGAGTAAACCTTGTCGCAACAAGTCTTGCCTTAAAGGTTTCCATCTTACTGTCCGATCATCTCTTCTTCTTATAGACCCACTTGCATCCAATGGGTTTTATCCCGTGGGGTGGTTCTACAAGTTCCCAAACTTATTAGAGTACATGGACTCTATCTCAGACGTCATAGCCTTCTACCAAAGTTCTACATCTTTATCTTGGAGTGCTTTAAATGTAGGTCTAATGATCGACATTCTATTCCTCAGGGATTCTGTCAAAAGATACTCACAATAATGTATACCGTTTAGGTTGACGAATAATCCTCTCACTACAACGAGGCACTACTTGCATTTGTATATCATTAATGACATGTTGTGTAGGTTCTGCACAAGTATCGATATTTCTCCCACTACGATGAGCCAATGAAAGATTGTTTACTCTTTCATGGGATGTTTCCTCTTGTACAGTTGGTATTGAAGAAGTATTCCCTGATTTATCTCCTCTCAACTTCTCGAGAACAATTCTACTTTTGGCTTGTGATCCATCATGTAGTCTTCCTCTAAGAATCTAGAGTTAGTGCTAACAATGAACTTCTAATCCTTAAGACTATAGAAAATACCATATTTTGTTTCTCTTGGATACCCTATAAATAAGCAGACTTTTGTTCTTGATTCCAACTTACTCTTGTCCCTTTTAGCACATGTGCTAGACTCTCCCAAATTCAAACATGTTACAAGCTAGGCTTACGCCCAGTCCATAGTTCTGTGGGAGTAGTAGGTACTGACTTATATAGTACCAAATTCAAAA